CGTAATAAGACAAATATCTGTCACAATGCATCCAATAACTCTCAGCTGCATTATCTTGAAATAATTTCCAGAAAAAATTTTCCTTTTTCTTCCTAGATCCTGAAGATCAGATCTAAGGAAGAAAAAGTAAAATTATATGTAGAAAGAGATTTCAGAAATGAATAAAAATAAATTGTAATTCTTACAACGACTAGAAATACAAACGAACAAGAAATAAACATTCACAGTACAGACCAAATAACGCAAAGCGACGCCGCTAATGGAATAGAAAAGGAAGAAGAAAAAAGGTTTCTGGCGAGTCGGGTTCTCGTATCCTCGAGACATGTAGAATCTGGTCTCGCCATATCCGCTAAGGTCACGCCATTGTCTTTTTGCGCAGCAGCCGAGAAGCGCACGCGGTACTGGTTCTCCAACACTCGACAAAATGATTCCTCGTGATCGCGTCCCGACTCGCCCACGCGAGTCGGCACCCAGAGACAACTCGGAGTGATCTCGAACCTGTCCCACTAGCGTGTCTCGTGTTGACTATGAGAAAAATTATTCCCGAAAAATTGACGATTATGTTTGTACGAGAGTGCACGAAGAAAAAGAAATATTTCGATACTTTTACACAGGACATTTCTTTCAAAATTCAATCCTTTTAAAAACAAAACATTGTTGGCATTAGATTGTGAGCACAAAGATTCGTGGTACCATGATACCTGAGGTGATAGGTATCTCACGATTACAATAAAATTTTGAAAAGTATTTAAAAATGGAATTTGATTTAAATCGAACAATTGTATTTCTCGAGCAAATAATAATTCTTCCAGAATTTGCAATCTGTTCTTTGAAAACTTTTTAGAAATTAGAATAAGAAGCGTAGAAACGAAATTTAGATATTAGAAACGTACGTAAGGAACACATAGACACATTTTAAAAAGATACTTGAAAAGTACTTTGATAACAAAAAATTTTGCCATCATTACATCATTAAATTATCATCTCTGCGAATGTTATCGATCTGCGCTTTCACTCTTTCCTTCTATCTTAACGTTTCGTCTGAAGCATTATAATTGATATCGCATTAGGGAAAGAGTTCTCGACGACTTTCCACGTATCGCGATTTCTCGAGCGCAAGGACAATTCAAGTATGATGAGTGACGGCGACGTGGCCGTTTGGATGGACTTTCCGATCTATTAACCTGCCTGTGGCATGATTGTTAATACGTAGTCGGATTGCCACGTCTCCGATGACCGGTGATAAACGTTCTTTCTATGCGCGCTATATACGACGACTCCGATCATTCAACGACTCGGTCCTCACTGTGCATAACGACCGTCATTGAATCACATCTTCCACGTGTCGCAACTGTCATACATACTTGACTCTATAATATAATGCGCGCGATCGAAGACATTTTCATTATTATCAGGAGAAGGAGGGGGGAGTGGGACGATCGAGGAGAGTGACTTTTGCATTTCTTCTTGCGAAAGTATGATAATGAGCGAGTGTCTGACACGATTTGGAATATCGAAATGTCGTGAATCGTGTCCGTCGATACGGGGCATTTCTGTCATTATATGACATCGTTCGTACGCGAATATCTGTCGAGATTAGAATTTGGGTACTAATAAAACGCAATCCTGACCGCACGATAGATCAATTATAGACTTTTATATGACGATTATACCGATTATTGCGCCTACGCGCAAAACGAAAGACTACGTTAGTTCGGCGAAAGGCATGTACGTGCAAGGAGCCATTCTCTTCGTTTTTGCTGAATGTATCGCCAAATTGCGATTGCGATTGCGATTGTGATTTTACATAAGAAAGATATTACGTTACATCGCAACGTGCGTTTTCAAGAGACATTCTCGTTAAAATTTACGTTTTCTTTTTTTATTATATCTTCACAATGTGATTAATGCAAGATCTACGACCTACGTAAATATTCATCGTTAAACAAATTATTATACTTTAACCTCTCTAACTATTATAATCTTTCTAGAGGATTCTATTCAGCTTGGTCTCGCGCAACTTAATTGTTATTTAAAAAAGAAGAAACATTTGTACGAATACAATTTAATAAAAGAAAACAAAAAGAAAAATAACTTTTGATAGGAAAAATAACTTTTTCGAGACAAAACAAATGTTACGAATGAAACATAAAATGGCAAAAAAAGACTGGGCTTTCTTTCAGTCAATCACTTGGCCGGAAATTCAGACACGTTTCTTTAGGCAGGGTCCAACGCTGGAGCGAAACAAAACCGGCGAGCTTTTCTAAGTCAGATCGTAAAGAGTTAATTCGGGATGCGCTAGTTTCGATCCGCAAATGATCCCCGAGTCGAACGGCGGCGCGAACGGCGACGAATAGACCGAACGCGCGTAATCGGACGTCGAATGGACGATGATACCAGCCATAGATCG